TCGTCTGCCACGCAGCCATGAGCTTCTTTTGCGTGGCGAATTCATTAACTAATTAATAAATTATTAATACGTTTAATATTTTATGTGAATCGATTTCACAATGCTTATTTGCAACCATATTGGAGATGCGTACGAAACACAAGATCTTATTTTTAAGAAACAAAACTACTGAAGAAGATTTCATCATTTATTTTAATGGGAGCTTTTGTACGATTTGTGCGATTCAATAAGATCGAACATTCTCGAAAAATAAATCTTTTTACAGACTTCAAACATTTATGATATAAAAAAACGATCATAGTTTCAAACTAAGTTAGTTAAATCGATTCACAAACTTCTGAACATAAAATATTTACTCAATAGATCTTACGTTTTGTTTTTTAATTAATTTGGTATTTCCAAACCAATACCCATCTGATAACTATATTTAGTGCGCATTGGTTTATAATCTCTTTAAAGTATTTCAAAAACATTACCCGTCTGATAACTAAATTTACAAAGTGCGTAGTGCGCATTCGTTTATAATCTCTATAAAGTACTAGAATTTACTGGTCTTTCTGAACCCAAAACATAGGTTGAGATAAGTTTGTAATCAACAAAAGAACTACGCATTTTTTTCGGTTTAATTAGAGTGTATCGCTTGTTGTCTGCCTTCTCGTATTCAATTGCAGTTTTTCTAGTTTTGCCTCATGAATGACCTTGGGCTAGTGCAATATACTCGTACTTAATTCAAATTGCACCATCAAAAATGTTTGTCTACATCTCAGCAAACACGGCAAGAATTTCATTACGGCGCAAATATACAAATCTCGACTATATGGCAGCTATATAAAACTGGTCTGTGCGGCGGTGCTGCATTATATAGAAGGGCGGAGGGGCGTGGCAGTCGGCCTGGTTGGCACAATCTGTAGACAACAACAACAGAAAAGCGCCACATCTTTGGCATTGTTCCGTGTACTGGGGCCTCGAGAAAAATGGGATCGCATGAGCTGTTGCCAAAGGCGCCCTAGGCCTACGATTGTGATAACAGTAAATGGTCAAATGAATGGACTGTGGAAATGTTGGAGGTCTTAAGATCCTGACATTATCCCGAAGATCATTTTAGACAGGAGGAAGTTTTGTGGTCTTAAGGTCCTGACACTATCCCGAAGATCATTTTAGACATGCGGAATTTAGGTGGTCTTAAGGTCCTGATATTGTCCCAAAGATCATTTTAGACACAGCTCTTTTAAAAAAGATAAGGCTTTTCGGATCGATCTATCTTATGTCATCTTATAGATGAATTCTTGTTTGTTAAAGATAAAAGTTGAACATCTCTCCACAGAATGATGAAAAATTTCAAATTTTCAGTATTATTTTCGAGTAGTTACAGAGCTCACCTAATACTAGGAATCAAAATGGCATTTATTAAATATTAAATATACATGATACGCATCGTACCATTCTTTTTTGCTCACATTTTTAGTTACAAATACATTTCCGAGGAACATTCTCGAAGTTCCACTGTGATGTTTTCGTCAACAAACAGTTGCCCCATCGTAACTAGGCAAAGCCCATTGGATGCCAATTAGTTTGTGACACTTGTAAAGTCCTGGGTCGCATAAGCATTTCGTTTATTACGAAAATACGTATACGTAGTTGGCAGGAGGTCCCATAGAGCCCTTTCCCCGCCCACTTTGGCCCCGGTGACCTTGGTTAGTTGCAACCAGTTGGCATTTCGAGGGAACAATGTCCCTTACCCACCCTCAGGATTTGTGGGAGATTCATAACGCATTCATGTCGGAAAATCTGGGGAGTTCATCCAGTCGTATAATAACTATACGAGTATAATAACAGCGGGGGTAGTTGGAAACAAACTCTGGGGACAAATTTTCCACTTCGTCGGTTATAAAATCCAAGGTTTTCAATGTAGAGGGGTACACTAACCACATAAATAGATCATAAACAACCGTTGACTCGGTGCGATAAGATTTAGCAACTAAAATTAAAGCAAACAAATTAATAAAATGCGTGACTGACTGTTTATCGTGATATCACCAGACCGAATTAGGATGTATTATTTACTCGTTTACTAAATCTTAGGACCCTCAAGTAGAGCTAATACACCTCCCCTCTCTCTTTTCGTTACAGTGTTCCTATCCCAACATCCGACGCCCAAAACAAAACAAAAACATCCGAATCCGATTTGTTTACTTACGAACCGTTGGAGCAAAACAAAAATCGCGTCCAAGTTCTACTCCCCTTATCTGTTTTGTGGAATTTTTCAAGCTTTTTTGCGTCATAAATTGAAATATTTTGAGTTCGTGCGAAAAAGATACGAACGGTAGAAAACTGTGTCGACGTCGGCAGAGTTCCGACTTCGAGATTCGTAGATCGTTTATATAGCGCCGCGCTCCCAAACGATTTTCATCAGTCGCAACGCGTCTCTCGTCGTCAACGGAGCTCACTGAGCCTTCAGAAAAGCGGAAAAGCCAAGGGAAAATCGTTCGAAAATAGCCGAGTGCAAGTGCATATAGTATCGCTGCCCCGTGTCGAACAAAATTCTCTTCGATGTCGATTAATTCGCCAATATCGTTAAAAAACTCGGACCTGCATTGAACAGGCAAAAGCGACCTCCAATAAATACAATACAAATTGTACAAGCTAATACATTTAAAACAAAGACAAAGCCAAGGCAAAAACCGCAAACAACAAGTTGTTTGCTTTTAGTTCGCGTTCCCCTTATTTTATTTTCCTTCCGTTCGGTTTTCCACGCACGCGCGTCGAGAAAAATCCAATTGAAAAATCAACGGTTGAAAAGCAACTGTTGCATCCTACCAACCGAATCGAAGCCAAATTAAAAACCCAGACTTTCGAGTGGTAACACGAAAAAACCGCAGAGAATACAAAAGTTGTGTGTGAAAAAAGCGAACGAAACCCGAGATCTTCAACAGGAAAACAACAATTTCGTTTATTGGGCTTAGGCCATTGTATGGGTAAGTAATAATATACAACTAGGGGATTTTAAATATAAGTGATGGGGTAATTACAACACGTTGCTCAGGACTGTGCATTAGTCAGGGGAAGCTTTTTGCATATACCACTTAAAAAAACACTTAAAATCGTAACTAGGATTTGAAAAAGTATTAACAACCTGGTAACTAGAAAACATTTGTACAGACGATATCGTCACACTCAAAACAGAGGATTACTCTATATCGAGAAACTACACCTAAAAAGATTGGGTATGAATAAGTAGTATTTCTAAGAAATATAGATTCAAATGATAGTCATACAGAGAAATATTCCAGTACATTGTTCTTGATTTGAGAACATTTGTTCTTAAGAACCGTGTAAATACCTTTTGGTATCAATTTTAGATCGAAATGGTGAGAAAATAAAAGTTAAACTGAGTTTACTTAACAACCTTTTGATAAATATACACTACTGCACAATGAAAACATTTTCAACTTCAAAAATGTCGTTCTATTGTTAAGAACATTTTCAATTCAGATGAGAACGTCAAAACTCTCTTTGTGCAGGTTCTCCAGAAAATATTCTTCTGATTTGAGAAAAAATCGACACTATTGTTTTTCTTTCTTTTCTGAGTGTAGACCATAAAATAAACAGACTGCTGTTTACAAATACATTGTTATACTGTCTGTAAAAATAGAGAAAAATTAACTTCACAGCACATTCTCACATCCGGTGATTCACGTGCAATTAGCGGCAATTGCGCGTGCCTGCGAATATTTTGAATGTGGCACCTACATTGTTCTATATGTGCTTTGAGCTCTATATACTGACTCATATTACAAACAAAGCAAATCCGCGACGCAGAATGTCTAATCAAAAACATACGCCCGAAACCACAACAAGATAAGCGCGTGACGCTAGTCGAGATTCGCAGAGTATCACATCACATGTTGTGCCCCCTGACCTCTATTCATTGCTCTCCATATGTACATCTGTAGTTCCAGGCACGTGGACACTGGTTATGCCATTGTACTCATTGAGTTTTATTGGCTACGCCAAAACGAAAGTTAGCAATCAGCACTCGAAACCCATTTTAGAAGTACCCGCCCACTTCCTGCCCCTCGGTGATAACATGTACTTACTTATGAGCATTGTATTGTCGTACAACGTATTGTTTATTGCCCGATGGTCGAGCAACTGTACGTCGAGATAGATGATTGCGTCCCTGGCAACACACTGCTCGAAAAACTAGGGACTAGACAGCCAGATGGCTGTCATACTGGGTTTTTGTACCTAGGGCTAATTATAGGTCCATTTGACTTTGAGAAGGGCAGACTTACCTGCTCTGTCAAGATCGTAGCCCATTAGAAATCGGAGACAGGGGATTTACCTAATCAGTGAAGGGATCAACGTAGGTTTAGATCAAGGGTCTGGCATTTATAATCTATAGCTCAAGGTAATAAAAATAAGGTTACAGCTCTTTCATCAAATATAAATGGGTTTTTATAATGAGTTTTTAAGTACATTTTAGTGTTTCTTATCAGGGTGTATTTATAGGAAGATAACCTTTTCTATGCTTTAGTCGACCATAAACTACAATAAACAAGTTTAGTTTCTTCAAAATACATATATAACAGTTTTGTAAGCAGAATCTTAAGTTAGGATGTGAAACCAACAGGAAATATATCATATTATTATGCAGTTTTTCGGTATTATTCGGTTCTTTAGGACAGTGGGATAAGTCCAACCAAAATCGTTACATCTTCTAATAAACTTTCCTTTCTCTCCCCCCGAAAACAGATCAGTCTAAACCAACGACGAAATTTGGAGACGAGCCGGACCTCCTGTTCAAGCGAGCGCAGGGCCGGATTAGTCTGATCAGTGCTGGAGTAGGAGGAGCCACCCAGGCTGGCCAAGCTGCCCAATCACCGCTGCATTCCAGCCAACAAAAGTTCGCCAACATTCAACTAGACGCCACGCTCAATGATTGCGAAAGTGGCTATGTGCCCACCGTGGGCCGCTGGGGCTCCGAATGGCCGAGTTGACTCGCCGTTGCCACCAGCCACCGACGGGATGGGGGAGTGGCCCCTCCGCTTGCGGAGGAGGTCGCTTCCGCCGCCGCCGCTGCCCAGGATCCGTTGCTCCCGGCGGATCAGCAGCTGGCGGATGCAGTGGTGCGCGGAATGGGATTGACTACGACGCGATCTGCAGCCGCAACTGAGCACCAAACTGGACGTGGCACTGGCGCCATTCGTCGCACACCCTCCACCTCCAGCGAGGAGGATTTGGAGGACGAGGAGCTGGTGCCTCCGACCGACCTGACAACGGTGGATGGATCGGAGCGATACTCCGACATTAGGCAGCTGCTGGCCAGACAGCAGCCCTTGGCGGGATCCCTGGAGGGGATCTCGGGCGGACAATGGATCGTGGGCGATGGCTACGATCTGGAGGCCTTTAATCAGATAAACGGAGTGTGGCCCCTTGGCCATCCGCTGCCGCTGCCCGATTGGTCGAGCTCGGAGTCCGGAGGCAAGGGCACCCTGATCTTCGACAATGTGTGGCAGTATGAGGAGCTGAACGGCATCGTGGAGACCACGCTGCAGCGGATGCTGGAGGAGACGCACTACAACACGGTCAACCTCTTCGTCGACTTCTATCGCAGCTTCAAGCGCACCCGTCGCTCCGATCTGCGCAGCTTCTTCCAGTTCTACGATGTGCCCATCAATAGGCGTCACCACATGTGCGTCTCCCTGGCCTTCGAGATCATGGCCAGAATGGTGCAGCTGTTCCCGGTGCTGGCCAACTATCTGTATGTGGTGTCCTGTGAGGAGCAGGTGATGGACTGCAACGACTATGTCCAGCTGGACGAGGAATGTGGCCTTAATTCGGTGGATGCGGGTGTGGAGAAGGAGCACGTGATGGTGGCCATGCGCATTGCCATCGGCGAGCGACGAGGTGTGATGATCCTGGATCCAGGATACCATGTCAGCCGCGCAGTGACGGTTATGCAGGATCAGAGCTATCCCCACACGGGTGAGTTGTAAACCCTACTTTCTCTTTGAGATGTATACTCATGGTTTTTGGTTTTTCTAGGCTGGTTCACCCAATCCAAGGAGCCGCGTCTGCAGCGGGACTACTGCTATGCGTACAGCCAGCAGAATGGAAAGTTCGTGGAGTGGCAGGAGCGCGAGATCCGTGGCGAGGATACCAGCTACAAGACCTCGCTGATCTACGTGGAGCAGGAGTACATCACGGCCATCGATGTGACTGTGCGCCGTAATCTGGTGTACAACTTCCGATCCCTGCTCTCCCGAGATGCCAAGGGTCAGGTCTATGCGGGCATCTACTTCCCGCTGGTGGCCAATGGCCAGGAGGCCTATCTGACCATCTTCTACGATGGACCCAATGACCAGCGAGTGCGCACGAAGGTGATGTTCAACGCCTTCAAGGTGGGAAAGGGAAAGGTAAGCATGATATAATAATATACCTTGAGACAGGGATTTCTAATCCATTTCTTGATATCCTCCAGCTGCCGGACTACGTGGCTCAGCATCTCAGCAGGCTGGCTCCACAGTTGAAGATGCCCCTTCAGGAACTGACCGAACTGTGCAAATCCCTGGCCGAGGTGGTCACCGACCAGAACTTCGTCAGCCAGGTCCTGGCCATAAACGACGACATCGGCAACATGTCCGTGTCCGTGGAGAATTGACAGTTAAAGGAGCCTAAGGATGTCGCTGCTACGGAAACGGAAACGAAGATGGAGACCCAGGCGATAAAAGACACTGACAACGCAGCTGCAACTTAGAGTTCCGAACCCTTAAATTCCTATTTGAATACTTTTCCCCCTTCTTTTTGGTAGCACCTAGGCACCTCTTACACCAGCACACACACACACTCGATTCAAGGATATATTTCAATTTAGTCTAGTATATATTTCAAAATATTTATTCACCTGTACACACGAGAACACACACACACACACTCTATATGGTAATCCCAATTGAATGATTTAACCGAATGCGAAACGCAATTTAATCAAAACCAGATAAGCCCAAGAGCGTAGATTTCGATTTTCGCTTAGCTTCTGTTTATTTCGAACTAAGTATACACGTATGCGCAACTATATAAAGGCAAAATTAGTTAATAACTGGTATCAAGGCAAAACATAAATTGTAATTGTTGTACGAACATATTTCCGTTTTAACACTTAAATGCACTGTACTATTTCGGTTCAATAAATAAATCAGCTAGCAAAAATAAATGTTGTTATTACTTTAAAGGTGGGTCTTAAATTCAAATAGGTTCGTTATAAGATAAGCACTAGTTTCCAAAACCGTTTTGGTTTGGTGGTAAAAGAAAACCTTTTAAAAGGTGTTATTCCTTTGAGATGTGGTTTAATTTTAAATAAGATTGTTATAAGTTAAGAACTAGTTTCTAAAACGCCTTTAGTTTGGGGGTAAAAGATAAAACCTTTTAAAAGGCGTTATTACTTTGAGACGATTTTTCATTTTTATTTGAAATTTGTTATTAAATGAGAACTGGTTTATAAAACCTTATTGGTTTGAAGGTAAAAGAGAATACGTTTTAAACGTTTTTAAAGATATATTTATATTTATATTTGAAGTTCAGCTTAAAGCACCTATAACTACAGTTTTTAAGGACTTTCAAAAATAAAAGGTTTTAGTCAAAAGTAGAGACCATAATTCCTTTTCAATTTTATCAAAATAATTGGTATCAACATTTAAAGTCAACTTTTATTCAAAAATAACGAACACCATTTTAAAAGTACCAAAGTTTACCCAACCCTGGTTCAGACAGCTGTCGAAAATCGATAGTCACAACCAACAACCGATGTTTATGTAATCGAAAAACATTAGTTCCCCATCCCTGGTGTCATCGATGTATCTTGAGATCTTCGACTGAAGTTTTTCAATTAAATAGTTCCGAATCAGCGTTTTTGTGAGTGCACACACAGGTAACTACACCCCGCCCACCTGCCCCATTTGTTGCACACCCAAAGCGGTAACCAGAATCAGCTGTTTCCGCACGATCAGCCGGCAAATAGGTAAAGTTCACCTGTTGGCCAACAGCAACAAGCCAAACGAAACAAAACAACAACAATCGGTGATGAAGTTCTGGGCGAAAAGGCGCGCAATTAAAACTAACGTTTAGTTCGCTTTTGAATTTCTCGCCGAGCGGTTGTGGCAGCAAGGGCCCGCTGGACAAACCGGTTTTCGAACTCCTCCCGATTGATTTTCGAAAACGTGATTGAAAACCCAAGTGCGAAGAAGCTCCGCCACAGCCTTTAATTGAAAAAGGGTGTCAGCATTGGCACAAAAACGAAACACACGTGCATTTTCACCTGCGGCTGCTGAATTGAAGGTAAAAACAATTGAAAACGTTTGCAAGGGCAGCGCTCGGCAACAACAATAGAAAAAGAAAGTTAACCATATGCAGCCAAATTAACAACGACCGCAGCAGCAACAACAATAAAACTGCTAAGCTTTGGCGTTTTGTTGACGGAAGTCGAAACTCTTGACAGCACGTTCGTAGAGTCATACCTACACTTCAAACAAATATAGGCCGTTTTCTAATCACTTTTCAATCACAAAAAAAGAAAACTCAAAAACAAATTGGGTTCCCCATATCTATATTCTTTTTTAAATTGGTTCTGCTGACATTTCAACAGGGAATTCGGTTTTCTTTTTTAACAAAATGTTAGTTTTACAAACATACTTTCTTAAATCGGTGTTTTACAAATCCTAATCCTTTAAAACCTCAGTAGTTTTGATAGCATAGTCAACTAAGTTTGGAATTTATTGAAGAGAAAAAAGCTTAGCAGGTGTTAGGAAAATAATGAAGTAGGAAAAAATTTCTTTAAAAACATATTCACAAACAAATAAAATGAACTTACTATGAAAACATATATTCTTTATAGGTATAAATTCGATTTGATAGTAGATAGTAGTAGTAGTTGCAAGTCAAACTTGTATATTATGAAATAGATTTTAATATTTTAAAAGCACCCACCATTATGTTTCAATGATATCGCTGCCTAAATATAATAGTTTTAAATAATTTGTAAGATCATTTCCATATAAATTTTTTCAATATTATTGCCAGATAAATATTTTTTCAGGTCTTTGCCATTTAAATCTCTTTTTCGATAAAAACATATTTTAATTTATACCTTTTTTATCTTCAATAGAGTTATCTATAAATCGATTTGTAAATTGCTAGGAAACAAAAAGGAAATATTTTTTCTCAGTGTACCATATCAGGTCGACCGTCCCGATATTTCCCTTCTTTTGAGAAGCAGAAGAAACCGACCCTCGTTGTTGCTGTTTAGCGCCTCAGTCATTTTCAGCTTTGGCCCCAAATTCACTATTTTGGCCCCGTTCATTGGCTTTGGCTCTAAACTCGGTTCTTCAACTTTCATTCCGCCGCTGTTTGGGTTTTTAATTTGCATTTTACGAGCACACCTTGGCCAGTTCTCTCGCTGTCTCTTAATAAATGCGACAGAGTATCTTTCTTTTAATTAATTTAATTATTCCCCTTCCCGCCTAAAATTAAGTTCCCAGTGCACTGACTAAAGTCAGTGTGCAATTGGCAGTGCTAATATGTAAAAATAAATATCTGTGGCTAAACAATCGGGCTCGCTTTATAAGCCCGGCTAACGAACGCTCGAAATTGCTGGGCAAACACGAAAAATCCCAGGTGAAGAGGCAACAACTTAAGCTGTTTGAGGGCCAATGGGGTTAAGTCGATACCGGAGTACGCTCTCTGATATTAATTCTAGAAACTATGTATAAAAAATCGATCAATAGGACAAGAAAGATAATATAGATAGATATGTTGACCATTTCTAATTTATTTTTATTGGATCAAGTTATATTTCAGCAAAACTAGAAAAATACACCATAATCTACGTAGCACAAGAACTGTTTCATTTTACAACTTAGATAATGTCTTTAAAAGTATTTGACATTATATTCTACTATACGGATATAAGACTTGACAGTTGTTTTTCCTTGAGCAGTAAAAGGTTATAAAGGGTTATGCAAGTAATCTTTACTGTTAGGGTAATATTTTATTTTGTATTATAAATGGGAAGCTTGACAACTCAAAGCTAAGTCGTGAGAAGAATAAATTTCCCTCAAACATAGCCCCGCCTAGAATACCCAACGAGTATGATCAACAGATATACCCGCTGAAATCTTGCTGACTCAGTTCAAGAGTGTCGCAAAGTGCACTCGAGGCGAATTGACTCGCCAATATTGATAATGTTGCCGGCTAATGGCGCTGTGACGAACCAAGATCGGTTTATGTTATCAGCCGGTGTACTTTGCCCTGCTTAAAACACGATTTCTTATCAAGACCCGTATTCCCTTTCCAGAGTTCCGGACAGCTGACGACGAGTCGATAAGTCGATCGCAAACATGCTGGGACTTTTGCTGTGGATATTTTTCATCGGCCTGCTGCTGTGCGCATTCTTATTTTCCAAGACCACCAAGGAGTTCCCCAAGTCCTGGTTCGAATGGAAGACGGAGTTTCGGTACCAGTACCTGGGAATCGTTGGACTCGTCCACGATGCCCAGCATGCGGCGCGGGATCGAGTGGGTAAGTGAATGATACCCGTAACTCACTAGCTGATGCTAATCCAACGGCCGTTAATTGTCGCCATTATCCATTAAGCACTTTATAAACAACCGGATCGCATTGCTGTCATCACCGGAGGCAATCGCGGCATCGGACTGCGGATCGTGGAGAAGCTGCTGGCCTGCGACATGACTGTCGTCATGGGTGAGTTGACCAATCAGCCGCGGGAACTTGTTTAGGCCCTTCGCCATAAGTCGTGGGTCTGTTTATTAATTCCACAAACATCTGATGCGCTGCAGTGCACGTGCTCGGGAAGCATAAAACAAAATTTGTATACAATACGAAATGCAGATCGATCTGCAGAGTGGCTCCCACCCTTGTCATTGGTATCAAGAAATCATGATCCACTCGCCTGATTTCGTTACCTAACCAAGTCACGCACAGCAATTTTGGGGGAGTCAAGCGATAAGAGTTCATTGACTTGGGATAGAAAAGTATTCTTATTTTCACTAGTAACGGTTTGAGCCATAAGGTTTTTTGAAACGCTTTATGAAAAGGAATCACTAGCGTTAAAACAAAGGGGAGGAAAAACAATTTTAAGAGGGAAAAACAAAAAATGCTGTATTTTTGAATCAAGGCGCCATGTATTCTTCCTCTTCCATAAAATGTTAAGATGCAACGTTTTCTAACAGAAATGTTAAGATTATTCTAACATTTCTGTAAGATTTTGGTACATCTTAACAGTGCTGTTAGATTTTGATACATCTTAACATTTCTGTTAAAAAATCGGTGGAATTAACATTTGATCGCGCCAGTGTGGTGGAAAGGGGAAACTGGACTTGAGAGAGGAGCGCCCTCTAGGGAGTTGGGTTGGGAAACTGGAGCTGGGCATTCTGAATTTTTTGAACTAATTCGTTTTTAATTTCTTAAAGGGAGAGATATTGTCAAGAGAGGGGTGAGGGATTTTTGCTATGCAGAATGGGGTGTGAAAAAGAAAGATGAGGTCGGTGTTACTTGCCTTGTAGCAGCTGTAGTCTTTCGATGCATTAATTTACATTCTTTCAATCCTGTTTTGAATGGAAATGTTAACTTCTACATTGATCCCATGTATAATTTACTCGTGTACAATATGAAGGTAAAAGGTACTGTTTACTGACGCCAGGTGTCGCCACGTGTAGATTGTTCGCGTAAAGATATGTAAAAATGTTTGATCTGTCAAAATACATTTTTGTAGAAAGGAAAGATTGGCGCCATTTTTAAAAAATGTAAAAAAAATATTAAACATTTCAGCTATAAGGAAGTCAAAGAAGATATAAGGATGAGAAAATATAGAAGCTGTTAAACATTGAATGCAATGAAAGTAATATTTCTTCAAAACAGGACCTCTAGAATACGTGGTACCTGTTTCACACCCTGCCCTGTTTCCCTTTTAATTAAGCACCTAAACTTCGCCAATAAATATAATTATCTAAGAATATAATTAAAATGTATTTCCATTACAGGCGTTCGTGATCCCCGAGGCGCTGAGGCCGCCGTCGCATCAATTGTAGACCTAACAGCGACCAAGGGTAAGCTCGTCTGTGAGCAACTGGACGTTGGGGACCTGAAGTCGGTGAAGGCCTTTGCCCAGCTCATCAAGGAGCGGTATTCGAAGGTGGACTT